AGGACATAAAAGCAGTGAAAATAGTTAATGAGGATAAAACAGTGTGGAATGGGGGGAGAAGAGAAGAGTATAGAGAAGATAGCAAGAGAACAAACAGAGAGGCATGACATTAATAGGACACATACGGTTTATTACCTGTTGATGATGACATGTATGGTATTCTCAACTGGATTGGTCTGAGAAGTATTTCATGTTGGGTAAAGTCTTTTTACAAGCAAAATGAGAAATAGTGATTGACTATTTAAAAAAATAATTGGAATAATAATGATAATGATCAGGAAAAACAATGAAAAGATATTGGATAATGAAATGGGGATTTTATTTTTATTGATGATGAAATGGGGATTTTATCAAAAGTATTGACTGATATGCATGGTATTCCTTCTGGAAAAAGAAATGTAATACACTGTAAAGTTATATGTGATTCAATGTAATATAAACAAGATTATGATGATAATAAATAAATTTTTTAAAAAGTAAGAAATGCAAAGAATAGAATAGTATATAAAATATTCTACCCTTTGTTCAAAAATCTGTCTCTCTAGCAAGCATATGTGTCCTATAGTAAAACCTAATTTTTTTTTTTTTTTTTTAGGTTTTTGCTATAGGGTGCATGTGCTTGCTATAGGAAGAGAAAGAGAGGAGAGAGGGATAGTGAGAAATCACCCCAGGGGAGATGGCCACACTGTAATCCCTCTTCTTCCATTCTCCTCTTCAGATATGGAGCATGCACACACATGTGCCCAGTGTGATTTTCAAACTGCCAGGTCCTGGACTCAAGCCACAGTTGGCCATGTGGAAATCTACTGCCTTAACCACCACACCATCTGCTGGCTCCAATAAATAAAAATTCTAAATAACTTTCTTCATAGAGTTATGTAATAAAATAAACATCAATCATTTGGCATAACGCAGGATATAAGTTATAGATAAATGATAACACCATGACCTTTGCATTGACTTATACCCAGAGATTCCTTCATTTATGTTTATGTGTTTTTGCATGTCAGTTTCACACTATAAACTAGTCACCCCTTTGGTATACTGTAAGCAGTCACTATGTCTTTCCAAAGCCTACCAACCTAACATCCTACATGCAATATCACATGGCCTGTTTCCCATCAGCTTGTGATGACAGGAAATGATAATACCAAGATCCTCCAGAAAAACTAATACCATCGCCACCCCTGTAAGCTGTATATATAGGTCTCCCATATCACTAACAATGGTGATCTGACACTCTTAAATTACCCACCATCACTGATTCATTTCAAAGCCAATAAAAAGATAATAAAAGTCGTTAGGTTCATTGCTTCCTCATTTTCAAAGCATAATCGTCCAGTGCCCATTTGACAATAAAAGTCTCCCTCTGGTTCTTTAAATATATAACCCATTGAAATGGTGGATCTGTGATTTTTTGGTCATACTTTTAGACAAATAATTTTATTAATTGAGTAAGAGATCTAAACAGATGTTGCTTTTGATTCTCAGATCAGGAAAGAAGAGTCCTAG